GTGACGGTTGTGCAAAATCTAGGTTAGTCTATGTTAGACTTGGAAAAATTGATTATAAGGTTGGTAATGCAAGACCTTCTGAAATGTGTTGCTTTGTACTAAATTAAATTTGGCTTGAAAAGGATTATGAAGTAAAAGAAAATATGACTAGGAAAGAAGAAATAGAAACAAAGAAAGAAGGATAATTCTAAAGCATTGCCCTTTCTGAAGAGCAATTACATTAACTCAAAATGGCTTTACCAGAATGAATATAAAACAGATCAGGATCATATAACCGTTATATGATATAATAAGATGTATTACCATTGCTATTGACTGTATCTTGGACTATTTATTATATTGTAAGAAAATTTCTGTGAGCTTATAATCATTTGAACTGCCTAACTCTGTTAAGTAACTTCTTGAAATGCAGAACTACATAAAACCAAGAAATGCCTGTTATTCCATCCTGTGACATGTCATTTCAAGGAATGTTGTACAAAGTAACAGTGGATATTCTGAATTAGCAGTGGATATTCTGGAAAATGGATAATTATTAAACCTGGCTAAAGATGCCAAGCTTTAAATACTGTAATTGAAACGTGTTGTGGAGAGCACTTTAGCACCTGTGTGTAAATCTGACAAATCATTTAGATGGGAGGCAAAGGTACAGTGATAACTAACATAATTTCTGGGTTTATGTTCTGTTGGTTGGAAACACTTACGTTTTCCTGAAACATTTACCTGCTATGGAGAAATTTTCCATGAATAGTTGAAGAGTTTGTGTTTTTTTTCTTGTTTTTTTACTGAGGAAAAATTGCTTTGAATTTTATTTGATTTTTTTTTATATGCATGAATATTCTTACAAGAAGAGAAGATTATGATTCTTGATGAAGAGTTTTTTCTTTCATAGAAAGATTAAGGGACCTGGCCGATGAAGCAGAGCCTGAGCTCCGCTACTTCACATTTTCTGCGCTTGCCTGCAGTACAGCCTGCAGTGAGATGTTGTAGGTCCAAATGGTGTAGATCTCGACTAGGACAAGATCTGGAGTAATTTTTGCTGTTTTGATTTACACTGCTTCTCTCTATAAGCTAAAAATAAGCAAAGACTGCCTGTTGGGAGCATAAACTAATTGAGATCTTGATTTTTTCTGCCAAGGTGATATAACCTGAGGGTGTGAATTTTTCATGCCCCAAGCCAACAAACTGTTGTGTGGATTTGGCTAATTTCAGTGCTGCGAGCACAGCTCTTCTTGTTATTTATACTACAGCAGGACATGAATTTTCCAGGCATGATTATGGTGACATGGTGCTGAAGACAGTGCAAACACAGGGTCAAGATTAGCACTTGCTGTCACAGCTTTGCAGTCTGAATAGACAAAACACAGAGAGAATGAGGACACAGAAGGGTGAAAAGCATCATCCAAAGTGAAGAAACTGCCTCATATTGCAGGTCTGGCCTGAGCCCAGAGCTGTGGCTTGTTTAGTCTTCTACCTCTCCTTAATCTTGTCCAAATTAGTGGAAAATTAAACATTCATGTCAGCTACCAGGTGCTGAAAAACAACTGAAAAGTGCACAGAATAATTTTCTAGGGAATTAGCTTTACAGCAGTGATTTAAATTGGCTTTGGAAAGTTTACAACAAAATGAAAGAGTGGGGAGCTGAAGCAGCTGTTTCTCACTGCTTCTTAGCTCAGACCTTGCTAGCTCTCACCATCATTCCATTTATCCCAGCATGGGATAAAACTCTGGCAGACCCAGTCACCTTTTACCTGAAGCCCTGAGACCTTCTGTGAGGTGTCACAATGCAAATTGAGAAAATGAACAGTGTGGATGGTTTAGAACCAAATTCGCAGTATAAATTTAACCATTCTGTCTGTGAAGCAGAGCTGGAAAACCCTTTAAATTTGTCTTGTCCCTAGATTTTTGACGTAAATGTTCTTAGCATTTTGGACAGCAGATCCAGTAGCAGATCTGTCCGAGTACCATTAAGTAGTTGTCCGTTGCTGTCTATGGAAGAGGTGTGGGGTGGTCAGCACTTTGCCTCAGATGAGTGATTATGTAAGGACAGAGATAGAAGTCCTAATGTAAATAAGAAAGAAATCCTTGATTTAAGATTACTTATGATTGTAAACTGAGATTATACCCAAGATGAAGCCAGGGTCAATAGCACAAGTGCCTTATAACTCAAATATGTTCTCTCTGGTGAGCTGTGCAGGTTTTGTAAGCCTGGGCACAAGAATGCCACAGGCTGAATATTCTCCCACCTGATTGAAAACAATCAGTTACAATATCCCATGGGATATATACTGGCTATATTTTACTAGATTGCATAACATGGTCTTGAGGCAAGAAAGGATTGAATAAACTCTCTCCACTCACTGTTTCCTGTTCCTGTGGATTTCACTCTTAAAGCATTTTATTCTTTCATTTTCATGTGTCTTTTGTATTTTTGCCCAGTGTGATTTTCAAGTGTTTTGATTTTAGTAATGCTTTGCCAATCTATCTTATTATATTCATGTTTCTACTTTTCGATTGAGAAATTAATATGTCAAGGGAGCTTAACTACCATTGTGATGATGTGAGCATACATTGTGAGAATGGATATTAAACTCTCTGTCTTAATAGGTGATAGATACCACATGGCACATGACTGGAGCAACTAAGAGCTCGTTAGAAGCCAGGAAAAGCTAGGTTTTGTCATGATGATTTTTTACTGCATTATAAAAGCATCCTGTATGGACTCAAGATCCTGCTTCTGGCTGCAGTGTGATCTGGTTAGGAGTCAGTGATACATCTTCTATTTCAAAAAGATGTTCATTAATTTGATTGAAATACTAAGTCCTTTGAGACCTCAGCTTCATGGCTGTGTACAGACAGGAGGGTTTGGCTATGCTCCTGGAAGACAGAAGAAAGTTACTGTGCTTGTGCTGGGCAATTGATAGTTCAGACGGAGTTGCCCCTGCCGTGAGAGCCAGCGGACAGAAGTGTTCCAGTAACCTGTGCTGCCCGTGATTTTTATACAAATGAGCTTAGGTTGTCTTTGTGAAGGTCTAGAGGCTCACTGATTGTGTTTAACCAAGCAAATGCACTGTACTATTAAGAAAACGAACACTTGAAGAAAGCTGAGACATGGGCACATGTTGAAAAGCTGATTGCTGCCCGAAGGGATGGCAGCCGCTGCAGGGGAGGAGCAGGCACGCACTCGATATCATTCAGCTGCTTTCCAACACAAGACTGACCTAGTTTTCCCAATTGGGACGGGCGTAGCCGGGCTGGTGTGAACCTTGGGCTGGGGTAGATTGCTTGTGGGAAGCAGACCCTGCAGCAATCCTTCTCAGGCTTACCGACACTGCTACAGCCACGATTTTATGCTTGGAATGGCTAGCTCCTTGCTGGAGTGTCATATCTGTTATCATGTTTTACCTTCTGTGAGTTTAGGGGTAGATTTTTGGCTATATACCGTATTACAGACTTTTCCTAAAGAATTTTGTGCTGCAAAAGGCAGCTACTGTTCCCATAGCAAATTCTACAGACTTTGAAAGGATCTGGGTCTAAACGTTCTTTGTCAGAGCAAGAATGGCCTGATCCTAGCCCACCTCTCACCAGGCTTTGGTTATTGGTCAGTACTGGTCCGCCTGAGGCATCTCATTCGAAACTCACACATATTTTTTCACTATTTGACTTTTCGTGTGTTCATTCTGTGTAATTTTAAACTACCTGGTATTTCATGTCAGTAAAACTCTATGTTTAATGGACAAGGGGCTGTTTTTCATTTGCAATAAGGAAATAAAGTTAGTTAAAACTGAGATTTTCAAAGAATCTGAAGTAAATTAGGTCCCTTAACCTTGCTGAGTTGCAGTAAGACTTGGGCATTTTAGTTTAAAATCCCAGCCTAAAAATACACTCCTGTGACCTCTGAGAAACTGCCTAAAGCCAGTGGTAAGAATTTGTTTGGCAGGCAACAATCATCTTCCTATGGAATGAAAGGAAGCTTGCTCTTCTCTGAGCTAAATGTTAATTCAGACAGGGAAGTGAAAAAAAAAAAAAAAGTAGGAGACTACAAAGATTTAAAATGACATTAGCAGTAAGGAAATATTTTTAGTGAACAAATATGTTTAGCTGCAGGTCCTAATCGTGTTTTTTGTATTAGTGCTAAGAAAGGCAATTCTTCTGAATTTAACATGCAACTGTTATATACAGTCACTGTCTGTAATAATAGCTGCAGTTACTCAAGAATTTTTAAATAGTTTTTCAGTGTAAAATTTATGAGATTGAAGGGAAATGTACTAGTTCTGAGAATATTTACTTGCATCAAAAGTTTCTGTTGTAAGACAGAGGCAGCATCCCAGTGCAAAAAAAAAAAAAAAGGAGTAGAGTTTTTGTGTTAGCTCCAATTTCTGTTCTGCCTGATTCCTTTCGCTGTTCTGAGGCTTGTATTTTCTATTATACTCTTTGGAAAAAATACCATGTACGGAAAGGTAATATTTTAAAATCCACAGCAAATTTCACAGGAGAGGAGTATTATTTTTTGACTAATAGTGCAATGAAAATATTCATGGCCCATATCTGTCTTAGATGATGTGTAGGAGACTTTTCTCTTCAGGTTTCTGTTATTTCAAAACCCAAAATATGATATTTAGTTTGTATTTATCTAGATATTTTACATGATTTGTTCAGGTACTCAAATACTTGTCATAACATGATAATTTATTTATATTACCTATATAAATATTTATAAAATGATAGCTAAAATCAGACCTAAGATGTGTAGCAATGATTGTCAGAAAATCTTATAGATGTGTTGTAGGATGATCATTTGGTATTCGTCTTTGAATTACTTGAAACATTTCACAATGTTGTTTATACATACACACAAAAAAAAACCCTATGAAAATTAATTTCATAGTTAATTTGGAAAGCTATTTGGTCTCTTTACAACAGACAACTTGGCATATTATGGTTTCAGAACTTTTATTGTAATTCCTGTATTACATAGATTTTTTTTCTTCTCTCCTCAGAAATTTTTCCAAGAGATACCAGTCTAAAAGACAAATTCATAAAACATTTCACAGGTAAGGCAGCTGCTTACTCTTAGTTTACCTATATCTGCATATTCTAAGTAGTCACAAGAGTCACACCATTAGATTTTTTGAGGTACTGCACTAAGTAACATTTATGACATTAAACCTGCATTGTTTAGGACTAGAAGTTTTTACAGAACTCTAATTATGTTTAGGTTTGAGTCTCTCTTTGAATAATCTAGCCTAAAATAAATTTCAAAACATGATATGTTAAAATATTCATGATTTAAACCCTATTATTTCATTTTGATCATCTTATTGTTTCTTGTTGATTTGCAGCTACACGTCAAGTTTAATAGTTGTAGGTACTGAATGTATACATGTCTGTATGCTATAGATACTACATTGCCAACTGTGGCTTTAGTGCATCTACCAAGAAACATGCTACACCCAGCTGGACCTTCACTCTTAAGTAGAAAGAGTAATTATGAACCTTACCGGTTTCAGCTCATGTGAGAAAGAAATGAAAAGAACATATAGATCCAACTATGCTATCCTATGTAAGACAGGAATACTGGAAATTTCTGTCCTGGGGAGGACAGACAAGAAAGATATGCTTATATTAATAGTTAATCCATTTCCTTTTCATTTTTAATTTTTGGAAATCATTCAGCTACCATAAAAAGCTTAGCATAAGAATGTGGGGAAGCTGAAAAATGAATACAGGACAAGTTTCATTACTGAGAAACAGCAGTGAAAAACAACCGTGAATTTTACAGAAGGTATTTTGAGAAAACTAAATCACAGAAAAGAAAAGGAGCAAAAGATACTTGAAGGCCTGTTTCTAGAGCCATTCATTAAATTAATAGTCTTTCTCTGCATGAGTAGTTGCCATCAAAATTGCTGAAATTATTTGACTCACATTAGCTGGAATGAATAAAGAAAGCAAATTCATTCCAAAATTCTTGAAGTTTATTTCTTTGTTGGCTCAGAATTTCTGCTTACATCTCTCTTCTTTTTTCTTTTTCTTTTTTTTTTTTTTTGTTTTTTAAATTATGCTCTTAAGATCTTCAGTGATGGGTTTTTATGTCTTTTTTTTTTTTTCCCCACAGCTTTATTAGGTCCTGTAATCCTCGGGCATTTTCTTAAAGTACAGCCTAACTTTGTTTTTCTTGATTCTGTACAAATCATAATCCTTCTAGCAACCTTTGTTAAGTAAACTGTTCAGATGTAGTCCTTACTAGTTCAAGAGTTAGAACATCCTAAACTAATGAAGTTGTGAAAAAGAGGAGAGAGGAGGAGATCAACATTATCTGTAAAGTCCATTATCTTTACAGCTTCAGGGTTAAGAAAATTATTGTACACTTCTAGTATGCCAAGAATAGTAGAAACATTTTAAAGTTAAATAAGAACCATATGTAACACACCTCAACTACAGGAAAAATTATAAACAATCTTGTGAGTCATAAAGCTATCTATCAATTCAGCTTGAAAAGCCAGCTGACACAGAGGGCTCTGTAAGGCACAAATAAAATTAATGGCTTATTTTTGATGGCAGGGAAGAGAGCTAGAAAACCGTACATTATCTGAAGGGATATGGAATTTATTTAGTGACAAAAGCTGATGTTATCTCCATATATCTTGGGTAATTTCAGATTACATAGTTTCTCTTGAGCTTAATTACTCACTCAGATAAAAAATGGCAACAATCTTCCAGTTTGAAGTTGCGAAGGCTTCTTTGTCAGTTTGTTGAGAAGCTTATTTGTGGCTGAAAAATCTCATGAAATCCACATATTACTGTAAAATATATCTAATGGTCAAGTGTGTTCACTGTCATAGAGAGGAATCTTCGCGCAAACTTGTAGTAGTTTCGCTCCGGTATCCAGAGAGAATTGGCTTGGTATGTTTTACCAGGCTGATAAACCACCTTTTAAGTGGTGAAATAAATAATTTTTGCCCTGAAATGCTTACTATCTTCCTCTGATAGGAAAGTCAGTCAACACAGCCTGCTTCATATGGATCCTTTTGTGGCATTGCTTGATACAAGCTATTCTTACTCAGGGTTCATATTTGTGCTGGATTTAGAGAGTGAAAGTTAAATTTAGTCTTTTTCAGTTAGTGTCAATTTATGTCAGTGTTTTCTGTCCAAATCACAAGAAACTCATCCCCAGCTGTCAATGGTAGTGTTGCTAAGCAGGTTACATGATGCAAATACTACATTTTTGCTCTGCTTTTCAACTCAGATGCCATCAGTAATACCTCCTTGGGCCATCAGCCATTATGGAAGGGCTCTTTGGCAACTTGTTACCCTTGAGCCATGTTTTGGAGACCAGCAGCTATATACTCTTATCAAATATTAATGTGGGCAGATGACACAAATATCCAGAGAAGGGAGCATGGCCGGAAGAACAGAGACACAGCACACTACACCCTGGACAGACAGGGGTTTGCCTCACCCAGACATTGAAACACATGCTGCTCTCTGCGCACTTTCTTTCTAGGACTACTTTAACAGGAAATCAGGTTCCTAGATGCTGTTCAGCTGTCAATTTTTTTTAACTCAACACCCACACCGTATATTAAGAACTTCATAAATCATCTGTGTGCAAATTAGAAGCATTAGTACATGAAGCTACTTCATCTTTCCAGGGCTTAGAAACTCGTATTTGCTTAAAATGTTGCTTTTATTTATCTTTAGGGATATCTGCTTTCCACCTGCATTATTCCTTCCACATTAGGATATTGACTACTGAGCAAACAAAATTCTGTTGTAGTTGCACCATTCTGTTTCTCACCATATAAGAAATTTTGCTGTTAATTTTGAATTACTGGAATTTCAAGGCTAAGCCAGTCCGTCATTTCCAAGGGCCATTTTTCTGTTATTCACATCATGAACATAATAGCGTGGCAATAGTGTTTCTTTCTGTTACTTCAGTAGCATTGTTATACTTGTTTTGCATCATAATTGTTTAAGGTGTAGTAAAAGACTAAATGTAAATTTGTCAAAACACACGGAAGTTAATTCTGTGTGTTGATGTCGCTCATTGAAGTTGCAAAGCAGTGACATTGAAAGCTTGTGGTTAACTTCTGCTCACTCTCAAACAGGGCCAGTCACGTTTTCATCAGAGTGTAGCAAGCACTTTCATCGACTGTATCACAACACAAGGGACTGCTCAACGCCAGCTTGTAAGTAGTAATTAAAATACCTTAAAATGCTAGCTGAGATACTTATTTAAAATAAACCTGCTTTTCTTACTTAGTGTTTGATGTGCTGGTCCTTTTATAACTGCAGGTCTACTTCAGCACTACAGCATGGAATATAGGCAAGGTCTTCTAACGCACAAAGATACTTTATTAATGCAGTTGCAGTCAGCTGCATATAATGGAGTGCCTTCAAAGTGAGGCTAACATAAATGAAATGAAAACTACAGTGTGAAAAACCAGTCAGACATGCCTATGTAGAGAGCAGATAGGAAGCCATATTCTCCTTCCTGATGCAGAGAGCAGATAGGAAGCTATATTCTCCTTCCTGCTCCCTTTAGCTTGACTCAGTAACTTGTGCAATAAGATAAAATCTGAACAATTCCCTACCTTCTCTTAACCCTGAATACTATGGTTATATCTTGGTTTTGAGTATATTCCAGTTTGTGATGATAATTTTCTAATATTCACTGTTAAAGAGCAAAAAAATCAATTATTTCATCATTTCTGTTATTGATACATGCAGTTCTTATCAAGTAATATTCCAGTATAAGATCCACTGAGGTTATGCTGTCACACAGCCTGAATGTAGTTTTGTCAGAGAAACTGAAAAATAAAACTGTCCTAAGATGTTATTAAATGGACAAAACAAGAAAAAACCTCAACCAACCAACCAAAAAAAGCCCAAACAAAATGAAAATCCCTTAAAAAGAAGTTACTTCAGCATTCTCTAGTACAATGGAAAATTCAAATAAAGTGAATAGAAAATAAGAAATACAATTTATTTAGAAAAGGTGAATCTCATTACTGATGTGTAAGCACACAGTGTAGAGCAGGGTGCTTTGGCAAATTTTCAGGATTTAACATGAAAAAATAATCACACTTCTTGTCTGCATCACTTAGGAAGATGGTAAGCACTTTTTGTGAGCAGCTGAGATGCTCTTTCAGCAAAGCTCAGCACCTCAGAGGATCTAACTTGTGAAAGGGAATGGAGAGCAGCTCTTGTGTACATCCAGCCTTGCACTGATCAGAAGGTGGAATGTAGAAATCCATGACTGATCCTCAAAAGATATAAATAGAGACTTCTAAGTAAACATATGAGTAGGCCAGACATATATCTATTACACGCTGTGTAACAAAAATACCATGCATGTTTCATATTGCATACCTTGAATACATGAATCCACAACATATGAGTATTGTTTGGACTCCCCTGTATTGCCGAAGTGCCTCACTTTATTTATGAAGAAACACAGTCATAGTATTTCTCTTCCAATTAAATCGCATTTCTCTAAAGTGAAAAACAAGATTGTGGATAGGATTGTGGGAAGAACCCATTTTTAAATTCGACTATGAAGACAAAATATAAAATAAAAAATGTCATTAAAACCAAAGCAGGGTTGTTTTTTGCTCCTTTTTGTTAGCCAAACTCAAAGCAGACAATTAGTTTCATAGAATCATAGAATCATAGAATGGTTAGGGCTGGAAGGGACCTTCAAAGGTCATCTAGTCCAACCCCCCTGCAAGGAACAGGGATATCTCCAACTAGATCAGGTTGCTCAGGGCCTCGTCCAACCTGGCCTTGAACGTCTTCAGGGATGGAGCATCCACCACCTCTCTGGGCAACCTGTTCCAGTGTTCTACAACTCTCATGGTAAAAAATTTTTTCCTAATATCCAATCTGAATCTACCTCCCTCTATTTTAAAACCATTACCCCTTGTCCTATCACAACAGGCCCTCCTGATATGAAACCCTCAGGTTTCATTCAACCTGAAATGTTCTATTGATCTAAAAAGGAGAGTTAAATCCTCAGAACTGTCTTCACTTTATCCAGCAGTTAGGGTTTAGAATAGCTATCAAGGATGATCATAGCCATGATCTCCTACCACTTTAGAGGGGTTTGATATTTTCTTTCAGGGACACCTTAGCCACCATAGGGTGTCTTAGGAGGAGTTACTTCTCCTACTGACATGACTTTATTCTGTGCAAACATTCCCTGAAGCACTGAACCCAGGTTAGCATTCAGTCTCTTGCTGTTTGGCACAATTTCTATGAAGTTTTATTAATATACTTATAAAGCAAAAGAAGAAAATTGCACCTGAGTATTCCTTGTTACCAAATAGTTAGATCTTCCCATCAGGAAGGGCGGCAGTGGCTCAGGGGCCACTTAAACTAAGTGGTCATTTGAACCAAGGACACCGGAGAGAGAGACAGCAAGTAGGACACTAGTCTGATGATTAGGAGATTTACTTGAACATGGAAAATATGGATTCTTATCAATATTAAACTAAGTGGACTATAATAAAAAAATTTGAAAGAGCCTGACCTCAAACTACCTCATAGTCTGCTTGTTAGAATAGCTTCCCAGTTAATGAATTAAACTCCTTCAGGTAAAGTTGGGAGTTGAACTTGGTCTTCTACGTCTTAGGAGGAAACTATCTGGTAGAAAATGAATTGCTACCATCACTTACATTTCCTCTAGAGCCCTATCTAGGATAAGGTACAATCTAATTTGGCATCTTGCACGCATAATTTCATGAATTTCCATCAGATAGTGGTTTCACTATGTAGAGTATCTGAAATTCTAGTACAAATTCTATATTTAATTTTATGCATTTTTTTGAAGATATCTGGCAACTGAAATTCATTATTGCTGTGGATAATTTTGTTTTATAGATTATAAAAGGTGTGCAAGGTTGCTAACAAGATTAGCAATGAGCCCTTTGTGTACACAGTCCTAGGAAGTTTGCTATGTAAGTATCATTTTTCCCACTCATTTTCTTATTTGTTGAATGGTCTAGTGATTTACTTCACACTTGCACCTTGTTATCAGGTATGCATATAGAAATGTGGTATTAACAGAGTGCATCAACATGCAGCTCTGGCATTGCTGCAAGGACCAACTGGTTCCTTGTGAAAATAGATAGAAGCACAGGTATCTCTGATACAGGCCCCGGTGTAATTTCCTACCAGTTGCTTGTGGCACCATAGTCCATAATTATGCTCTGGGTCACCTCTTGCTGTTCAAAATTTTGAAAAGGAGTCTGGTTGGTGAAAGAGAAAAATGCACGAGGACTTCACCAAGACATTTATTCCAGGCCTTTCATTAAGAGGGCTTTGTTGTTAATCCATGGAAGAAGCAGAATGCGTCAGTCTCAGGCCTGCCAATGCAATCTTCATAGATAACCTGTCACTTTATTCATCTTTGGGACCACGTTTTATTCCCAAATTGTTCTCCTGAGAATTTTTTTAAAGTTAATACCGCTTCATGGTGATGGAAGTAAACTGAACATAAAGATGTGACAAAGCTGAAGGCTTCAAGTAACAGGCTGTGGAAGGAACCAGTTCATTCTTGTTCATGAATAGCATGTTAAATGTGTTAATTAAACAGCATTGTCTCTGATAAAAGGAACATGTTCAGGTGAACTGTTTTCTCCAGTTGTTTGAATATCAATAAGACCGTTACACTTCCAATAGTAGTTTGGAAAGCTGCGCTGCTTATTATTGACCAATAAAATACATAAAATCAGTGAATTTAATTTCTTTAAATTTCTTCAAAAATGGTTTCCTTTCACCACCTCCTCCTGTCAAATATTGCAAGCTTGGAGTTTGGGGGAGTTGTGTAAGACACTTCTTCCTGAATCGAGACTTCAATTCATACTAATCAAGAATAAGAAGGGAAGAGTAGGATATGAGTCAGTGTTAGCTGATTTGATTTCCAAGTGGAGGTGGGATTCATTTTGGTGACTGTGAGAAAATGCGTTGAAGAATATGGCAATATTTCAGTGCTGAGAAGAAATGACATCACTTCTTTCTCTTCTTTTCGTAACTATTTTCAGTCTGTTTGGCCTCTTGCCTTCCGGGTCTTGCAAATGGTTTTAAATATATTAGGGGAACTGAACCAGAGACTGACTAGGGATCTTATTACTTTGCCAGGATCTCCTTTTCATGACTAAGGGCAGGAATTCTTTTTTGAGCACCCTTTTTTCTATTTTTTTTTTTTTTTGAGGTGCCTAAATTCCTGTTTGTTTGTTACTGTTCTCTTTCAAAACTCAGCTTTCCAAAACATCTCTTCACTCTCTCATTTTCTGCACTTTTACCTATTTAATCTGTGATTTTCCTCATCTGTGTCCCTTTACACCTCTGGGTTTGTGGTGCATGGCTTCCAGAGAGATTTCTGGGTGTTCCAATACATTTTTTCCCTTGCTTTCAAGGGAATGAGTCAAAGATCTGCCTCCATATCCACAGTACAGAAGCATCTATCTCATCCTATTTCCGTCTTTAAAATACAAAAGGATCAAAAGTTGCTATGATTTGCAAATCTAGGTATTCTAACTTGCTTGCTAAAAATACACTCAAAGAGATGACATGTGGGGAAGGGAGGGTTTAAATGGTATTTAAATGGTAAGCAATGTAGGAACTCATGCACACTGGGTTTGCTTAAAGTTGTATCTAGGCTGAATTTCTCTCTACTTTGTTAAAAACAGAGAAAACATTATAGGAAAAGGTAGAACTATGATCTGAGTGTTTCCCTGCTGCCTCTATGCTACCTCACCCTGTTCCATGACCAAGTAGACACAGTGGCTTTTTTGCACTAGAGATGACACAGGCTCAGGTCCTCATGTTTGCTCATATCCAATATCTTGGAATGGAAACATTTTCCTGAGACGGTTGAAAGATGGCAGGAGACGCTCGCTCTTCCTTCCATATAGACAGGGAAGCACAGGTGTTATATATGTTCATCTCTTGGTAACACTGCATTTCTGGCATGATTCTGTGCTTGCTTCTACTCTGTCTTTTGGCACAGAGGATCTGTTTTCCTCACCACCGCCACACTAGCTTAGAGAGGACAGGGTCATAGTTCCTGTACTGTAAGGGAGGTTGCCTTTGCTTTAACATCTAAGAGAGTCTTGGAGATTCTCAGGTGCCTTGAAGAAGGAGGCTCTCCCACTCGAAGAACCGACAGCTATTTTTAAGCATTTTTCCCACGTGTAATAAAATAGGCTGCATTTTCCTCATAAAAAATAACCGCAGTGCTATTATGCGAATATTTTCCTCCCTCTCGTATGAGTGCCCGCGTACGAAAAGGAGACACGACCTTTTCCTGTTAGAGATGAATTTTGCCTGGGAAAGCCGATCCTCCGGCGGAGGTTGCAGCGGCGGCGGAGGGGGAGCGGCCGCGGGCGGTTTCAGGACCCTGGAGAGGGCCGCCGGGGGGGGCGCGGCTCCCCAGCGGGGGGGGCCCGCGCGCCCCCCGCCGCCGGGGG